GGTTTCACTGGGTTGTATCAGTGATGAAGATGAAATGTGATAGAGATGAAGTGTGATGTAAATGAAACATGATATAGGTGAAACACGATAGATATAAAACACTGATGTAGGTGAAACATATCAAGTGATGGGATCAGTCATACAGTTACAGGGTCCACAACAAATAGTTAGGAAAAGAAAAAGAACCCCCCTCTGATGCTATAATATTACCCCCCTCTCCAGATTTGTCGTTCAGAGTTTCCATTGAGCATGACACTCCTGTAGGTACCCAGGTTTGTCGGTGGGACATGGGAGTTATCCAGGCTATATATTGGTGGTGGTGCGGAATTTTATGATAAGGGTGCAGGAGTCCGCAATAGGAGCATAACCAATGCCAACACTCACTTCAAAGATGACTGTTGACCTCACATTTGGTACAGAAGTGAAGGCGGCAGGGCATGGCACCAGAAGGAGGTTGATAATAGAAAACCTGTGGCATTCAAGGCGTTCTTCTAAATTAGCAGCTTTGAGATGTGTTTGACATTGGCTCATCTCTTCCTTTGTGCAGAGAAGCTCTGCCCCTATAGATCGTTGTGCTGCTAGAAGTAGATCAATCTTTGTGTCAATGGCTCTAAACTGATCCACTTCATCAGTCACTCCTGGATCCCTGATATCTTGAAGTGATGCCCAAAGGCTCTCCAATAGATTGTCATCCTGTGTCAACAAGTACTCCCAAGTGTCCTCCTCCCATTCTTTGTCTGAAGTGTTCCAGTTTCCTACAAGTTCCACAGTATGCAGTGCCGCTGCAGCAGTAGTTGATACCTGTTGTAGTCCAAATGCAGGATTGCTGTCAACAGGAACGCCTATGGGAGGTCAAGTGACAAAGTTAGTGTATGCTCCAGGAAAGTAGGGTAGAACCCGCTCCAAGGGATCAATGTCTTGTACAGGGGTAGAGGTGTCGAAAGGAATGGATCGCCAGGACCTGGTAACATCATTTGGGGGTTGTTGAATCACGTTGTTGCTGTAGACTACAAACTCCTGTGGGTCACTGCTGTATCCTTCTGATGCTGTAATATACTCGCTGACATTGGCCAGGAGTTGAAGATTGGGAGCATGGTCAATACTTCCATTGTTGGAGGCATCAGAGGCGAGAGGTGGCATATTGGGAGAATCAGTAGATGCAGCAGGGGGGCTATCAGGGTTTGAGGAGGATGAGGTATTCATAGGCGATGAGGATGGGAAGACCTGTGCAGGGGCAATGTGGTAAGATCTGGTGGATGCTTCTGAGGTATTGTGAGGAATCTCCAGAGGTCCAGGGAACTGATGCAGAACTACAGCGTCACTGTTGGAAGAATCCGAGGGTCCTGGGATAAGGAATGGATGGTGGGTAACATTTGGCAGGGGTGTGAATGGGTAGCAGAAGCCTCCTTCGTTAAGGAATTCTAGTGAAGAGTCATCAGATTTGTGCTGGGGAGGGAAACTCAAGATAGGCCAAATAGGGACCGGCATTTCTATTATTCCAGCTGTGAAACACTCTTCTAGAGTCTGTAGGTGAGAAGGGTAAGGGGTTGGCGCTCTCTGGGGACCAGCCATTGGAGAATTATTGTTCCTAGGAGCCAGAGGGTGATGACACAGGTCCAGATTAAGAGTTGCATTGTTATTTCTTGTATGGTTGTTGCGCTCAGCAGGCATGAGGGAAAGCCAAAAGGAGATTTTTCTTGAGAAGACCAAACCCAGAATACAAAAGAAGCCCAGTACTACAGACAAAACAAGACCCCAAACCATAATCTTGGTGTTCCCTAATGTACTCAAAGTATACCTGCATTGGGTTGTTGCTGTCGCGGTTTGCAGCGATGACAGGGAGATTGGTGGTGGTATGGGGGAGGGGGCGCTGTGCAGTAGCAGTGATGTTGAACACCCACTGGTGTTTACACTTGAGATGGCAGATGGTGAGACGTAGGAGGAGGGGGATGATGAGGGTGAGGGCGAGGGTGGAGAGGAGGCTGAGGAGGAAGAAGCCCAGTAGGGCGAGGAGGAGGAGTTGGGGTTGTTTGTCAGTCACAATGAGGGTGGTGGCGATGAGGGGAGCAATGTGGTTCACCACTAAGGAGGTTAGTGAAGGGTGTGGGTGTTAGCTCAATGGGGGATGTGACCTGTACTCCTGCTGGCCACTCAGGTGTTTGGTCGATGGTGGGGGTTGTTGGTTGTCGAGTGAGGATGACTTCGACTTTGTATGTCTCCTTGAAGTAGAAGACAGTGATGGTGATAATGAGGAGGAGGGCAGTGAGTAGAAACCAGGTGGAAATGAGGAGAGCGGTGAGGATGGTAGTGGATGCCATTGAGGATATGGAGGGGTGATGGTTCTTATAAGGAATCTGTTACAGCGTGAGAGGGGGGTTCCTTTTCTTTTCCTAACCATTTGTCGTTGACCCTGTAACTGTATGACTGATCCCATCACCTGATGTGT